TGTATCTACTACAATTGCTACAGGAATTGACAGGCCCCCTGAACTGTGGAGCTTTTTACTAGATTCTCTGTATTTTATATTTAGGTTCATTTTTTTATAGCCGTTACTTAAAAGTATAAGGAGCATAAACTTAGAATAAGAAGATTAGGTGCTACTCCAAATTCTACTGTGAACCCGAAGCCTGATCATGAAAAAGTTACTTCATCGCTCTTTGCCTCATTTTCCTCACATGTAAAACTGGAGTATTGCTCTAAATTACATCATCTGAAATTCATTTAAGTTATGAATGGAAAAAGCTACAACCCCCGAATGTTAGAATTGTTAGGTCAGTTAACCTTACACATTTCATACATTTCCCATGCCTGGTTGTTGGAAGCGGGACAAGAGTGGGAGTTTGGCATCTGTGTTAGCACTACCAGCTGAAAGGCTTTCAAACAGGAGTAGCATGGTTTGAATGGCAAAAATACCTTCTTAGGGTGTCTCACCAAATAATGAGAGGATGCTGAAGAGAATTTCTGAGTTAGAGTACTGGGATATTTTTGAAGGTTTTTCAACTAGGCCTCTAATTCACACTTAAAAATGTGAAAACCCATGTAATTAATATGTAGCTGAATTATATTAAAATTAGTATATTGACATGATATGTTTGAAAACTGGATCACACAAGCCTGGATTTCCTAAATAATCCTTCAAGGAATACAGCAGGAAATTAGAGTTATAGGACCTTACTTAAGCTCATTTACAATATGGTATGGGTCTTCTTGAAAGTATACATATGGAAAGCCACAAAGTGGGTCTGGATATCAGTGATGCTAAGAATTTGACTTCAGCATTTCTTGGCCCATAGTATTTAACCATTGTGCACGTCCTCAAAATGTCTTTCAGTTTACTTTTGCAGAAATACAAATTGAACCTTAGGTTACTTTTTGCCTTAGTGATGAAAAAATATGTTTAAGGTTCTTACACTACTGCAGAGAATTTTAAAAAGTAGTGTGAAAACCCCACACAAATAAATAATAATATATTTAAAAATATTCCTATAGGAATAATTTGAAGAGAAAACTAGCTTGGGTAATGGGCATTAAATAGTCCATTTTACCTAGGTTTCTTTGATTCAGAGATTCATCATAAGACTTATGGAGATAAGTCCTCAATAAATTAAAGAATACAAAATATACATTGTTTCCTAATATAACCCTGAGAAACTTTAAAATTTATTTTCATAAATTCTTTGTTCACTTGGAAATATACATTTAATTCAGTATCAATAGAAAATCTATTGTTTGTTACTAATGACTCAGATGCTCAAATGATCTATTGTATCGGTGGCCAGTGGCAGGAATGAGGCTCTGTGCAGTATTGTTGTAACCATGACATTCGTGACATCATTTGGTGGGAGTAAAATTTGGAACATTTGGGAAACAAAGCAGTGGCTTCTTTGCTTGCCTCTGTGAGAACCTAATGAATACTAAGAAAGTGTCACCGACAGTGTTGATTTCCCTACCTATATTTAGCAATTTTACATATATTCACACACATACATACACAATAAAACATTTTATTTAATTTTGCCTGCTAATGTATGAGATTCACAATGCCCTATAGACTCTGGGAAGAACGTTGATCTTGAAACGCAAAGCCACGCTCTACTTGAAAAGCAATACCTTTAGATTATGCAGACTATGACAGGGCCAAGAAAACACGTAACATTGGTTCTATTCGGAGATACACCTTTGTTAAAAGAGATCCCTTCAATATGTACTGTCTGAATAAAAATGATGAAAGGGAGGGTACCCTGCATGGCTGTGTTAGAGATCTGTGGTGTTGGAGATCAGTGAGGGGGAGAGCATCATTGTTACCATAGAAACAAATGCTGCTTCTGTCATGGACACACAAAGGACAAACTGAAAACCGAGGAGTGGAAAAGCAAAGGGAGGAAGAGGTGCCATCAATTGAGAATAAAGAAACTATACATGAAGTACTGCATTGATTAAAAAAATAGCATGAAGCAAAATGAGGAACCTCAGTACTGAAAGTTCCCAAAGGAAATGTGAAAAACTGTATCACCACTTGGGTGGGTGCAAAGAAATGATGGCTTTTCTATTTTTAAAAGTTAAATTTTTTTCTAAACTAGACACATTTTTTTTTGCCTTTGGAATTAATTTTTAAATCCTAAAGTCTCTCTTAAAAATTAAATTTGAGAGAAAACAAAATATGGAAAATACTGAAGTTTATGACAAACTATGTATTTGAATCCTGAGTCTTAGAATTTGTGACAAGTTATATGACCTTACCTTAAAATAAAGAAAATAATACCAACCTCACAATTATTAGGTAGTATATAAGAGAACAAAATTCAAACCCTGTTCTGTAGAGTGAATATTTCTATTTTGAGGAAACGATTTGGGAATGAAATCTGAATATAAATCACTCATTTTAGCATTTGAGAATGAAAAGAACAAAAAAAGAGAAGGGTTTTTTTCACTCATTTCTACCTCTAAAAAGTAGAATGATTAGTTTATGTTTGAAGACTGTGGATAGAGGTAGGAAACATTTATTATACACAGGTAAATATATAATTGGATGACATTTTGCAAAATGAATGAATAAAATGCTATTTTTATTACTTTTGACCTTAAAAATATCTTTATAGGTTTGCTATTATTCATTCATTTGCTAATTTGGATAGATTATCAAGTAAAATTTTATTTTAACCATCTCTTTATGCCATGAATAGACTCTAAAAGTAATATTTCTATAAAATTTGATATATTTTCTATAAATGTTTATCTATAGATTAATATCATTCATGTACTGTGGTAGACAAGGTGATGTGCTGTCCAGATACCTTTTATGGAAACACTTGCCCAGCTCCTGCTTCTTTATGCACGGGTCGTGCTGTTCCCAGTGCAGCCTACTTTCATGGCTGATGGACATTGGGGTATAAAAGTCTAGCCATCTCGGTTCCATATGGAACAACTTTGATGTCCTGGTGGGTTGGCCAGGCCTGTAGTAGGGCCGACATTGTAGCTCAGCTTCTCCTTCTGCCAATCCCAGTCCCCTCCCCTCCCTTCCATGGTTGTTAAGCCCAATGACACTCCTTAATAAGCATCCTGCCTGCCAAACTCCAATTCTGAGTCTGATTTCTAGAGAACACAACTGGCACTATGTACTTTTTTCTGTTGCAAGTAAGTTTATCATATGGATAAATTTATTTTTTTTCCACTTGAAATGTCTACAGAGTTAAAAAGTCAGTTTTCAAATGTATGCATGGCTTCAAATTATCTGTATTATTCTTTAAGAATTGACAAAGAAAAGTAAGAAATGCCTGCAAAATTTGTTTGCTCATGTTTTACATGCAAAATCTCTACTAAAAAGTATTGAGCAAATGCCTAAAATTACAGGGTTTAAGGAAACCCCACAGATCCTATCAAATCCACTCATATTGATGAGAAAACTGGATCCCAGAGGGCTAAAAAGACTTGCTCAAAGTCATGCCAGTAGGAGTATTAATAGAAGTAGAAGTAAAAGTAGAAGGCAGACCTACTAATTCTCTAGTTTTCTGTGTTCAGATATTTTTCTTTCTTTTCTTCTCTCCTTCTTTCCTCATCTATTTCTTTAACCTAATTTCCTTTCTCATGTCCCTAAGCCACAGCTGGTTCCCAGAACTGTGAAATACTTTCAGAGAAATGATTAGGAGTGTGGTGTGTGTAAGGAGGTATACAAAGGACACATATAGTTCCTGTAATTCTGTCCACTTGTAACTGTGCCTAAAATTTATCAAATTAGAGGGTGAGTTCTGAACCCCATGACACTAAGTTCTCCAAGATGAAGTGAATATTAGTCAGGCTTCTTCTGAAAACCCTGGAGGCAGGCGGAGGGACAGCTTCTGCGCTTCACAGTCAAAACTACACATTTGTACCTTCCTCCCAGGAGCACAAGAAATGTATTCTGTATATTTTAGGCATTAGATTCAATAAAGTGCCATTAGGAGTTTTGCAGTCTGTGAAAATGTATTATTTCAGAGCCCATTTTAGCTGTTGCTGTGTGGGAAGACAATGCATTTACTGCTAAATATGTTCCATAGTGTGTGGTCTGGATTTATTCTGCTTTCATCTAATATCTGAGCAGATATTTAGGTAGGGATGATCCATTATCTTTCCTGTAATGCCTTAATAATGTTTTTATAACTCTTTAGCATGTAAAAAATGCTTTTGAATATATATATAATTTTTTTCTTGAATAAATTCTACTATACACATTTTTTATTCAGATACTAGAAAGAGTTATGTAGTAATGTCACTTAATTTAAGCCTCAGAGTAACTCTATGGAAGTAGGTATTATCATCTCCATTTTCAAATAAGAAAGCTAAGGTTCTGCAAGTTTAAGTTTTTTTTTTGTTTTTTTTTGGTTGTTTTGTTTTTGTTTTTAAGAGACAGTGTCTCTCTCTCCCTGTTACCCAGGCTGGAGTGTAGTGGCACGATCATAGCTCGCTACAGCCTCCAACTGCTAGGCTTAAGTAATCTTCCTGCCTCAGCCTCCTGAGTAGCTGGGACTACAGGCATGCACTATCATGCCTGGCTAATACCATGCAGTACTACTTAGGCATAAAAAATGACAAACTAATACTGCTTATATTAACCTGGATGAAACTGGAGACCATTCTTCTAAGCGAAGTATCACAAGAATGGAAAAACAAACACCACATATACTCACTATTAAATTGGAACTAATCAATCAACACTATGTGCACATTTGAAAATAACACTCATCAGAAATCAAGCAGGTGGGAGGAGGGAGGGGTGTATGAGTAAATTCACACCTAATGGGTATAATGCACACTGTCTGGGTGATGGGCACACTTATAACTTTGACTCAAATGGTAAAAAAGCAATTTATGTAACCAAAACATTTGTTTTCCCATAATATTCTGAAATAAAATTTAAAAAGTTTTTCATACTGATGGGGTCTCACTATGTTGCTCAGGCTGGTCTGGAACTCCAAGGCTCAAGCAATCCTTCCGCCCTGTCCTCCCAAAGTGCTGGGATTTTAAGTGTGCACCACCACATCAGGCCAAGATTAAGTTCTGATAACTACTTATTTGCACTTGCTGTTTATTATGTCCCAAGTATGTTCCAGGAGCTTTATGTATACCGTTATTTGTTCCTCAGAACAACCCAATTAAAGTTGGTACTGTTATTATCACTGGCATCTTACAGACAAGCACACTGAGTCAGGGAGAGATAAAGCAAGCCTCAGGTATTAATCCTTTTGTTATCCTTTTGGATAACATTTACAGTTCTCTGAGCCTCAGGTATCTTTTGGCTAGCAGTACCTGGCTAAGGTCACACAATGGGTGAGTGTTAGGAGTTGGATTCAGCTGAGGTAGGGTGACCACCCAACCTGGTTTGGCCAAGACTGAGGGGTTTCCCAGGATGCAGGACTTTCGGCGCTCAAACCATAACAATCTCAGGCAAAGAGAACAGTTGGTTATCCTCAATCCAGATTGTGCCCCCAAGGGCCACACTCTGAAGCATTTAGCTCTTCTGTCTCTCAGGCAGAAGGTGATGGATCCAGGATTTGAACTCCTGTTGAGTGACTCTGAAGCCTGTGCCCTGGTATTTCTATCATGTTGCTGTGGTTTGTGTTTTGATACAAATATATCACAAAAGGAATTATATGGATTACTAACTTGTAATATGCTTGGGTAGGGAATCATATGCGAAAGCCTAATACATTCAATTAGATAGGAACATACATTCAGATATTTGTTGTGATTCTCTTCTTAATGTTTAGTTGAGATATAATTGCTATACCCCCCAATCACATCCTCAATATATACAATTTGATGAGCTTGGATATGTGTACACCCATAGCACCATCACTGAACCAAGGTAATAAGCATATTCATCACCTCCAAAAGTTTTCTCATGAACCCTCTTTTTGAGTAAGTTCTAGAGATGTGTTGTACAACAGAGTGCCTATAGTTAGCGATACTATTGTGTACTTGCATTGTGTACTTTAAAAAGTTGTTAGGAGCATAGATAATTGCCTTCATCTCACTTAATAGCAGACCATTTATTTTTCTTACACTTTGGTTTCTCCCAAGCCCATTCCCTATTTCCCATAAGTCACTATGGACTTGTGGTATAGATAGATGCTGTATTCTCCCTTCTCCCTTAGGTCACTCCTGAGTGATAGCTTTCTCATGTGTACCCAACTTTGCTTTCCCTGAAGGGTCTGAAATACATTCAGCAGCCACAGGTGCCCGTCAATTTTCTCTTCTGCCATGTTTCCTCCTTAGGTCTCCTCTTCTCTAAGTGCTATTGTTTCCTTTATCCCATACCCTACACCTCCCTAGTCAGTTTCATGACATCTCTTTATAGTATAGCACCAATAAAACTGCCTTAGGATTTGAGGGAAGAGAGAAATCAATTTAGACTAGTGTCATGAACACCGTTGTAGAGATGATATTAATTGAGCTGAATTTTGAGGAGCACAAATGATTTAGATGAGCATCAGTAATATCAAAGGCTTAATTTTACTGATTTAGATTTTGAAGGGTGATTATAGTCTAGGAATTAAGGGCTATTAAATTACTTTTGCTTTTTGATTGCATGAGCTTAACCACGAGTAACTTAACCACTGGCTGACTTAACCACTTTTCTAAAGTCTTTATGTTTGAAGACAGCATTTCCTAAATGTGTGGAGGCTCATAGTATTTAATTGTATTGAGGATTGGTTTTGCGTTGTGAAGAGCAAACTTGTATAACACTTATCAGATGAGTAACTTTTGGATAACATTTACAGTTCTCTGAACCTCATGTATCTTTTGGCTAGCAGTACCTGACACAGAGAGTTCTTGTGAAGATAAAAATACATAAAGGATTAATAGAATAGCTAGTTTAGTGCCTGACACATAGTAGCCATTATTAGTCTTACCTAAAGAATGATTGTATTCTGTTTGTAGATGAAAGCAACTGATTTTCTGCTTGTTTCAATAGTATGATGAGATAACAAGTACATGGGAATGGATAGCGGTGGTTAGTACTCTAGGTCAGGAATAAGAAATTATTTTTAAACTCATCCCACTCTTTCCCTCTATAGCAACGCCTTCCTTGTCTGGTTGAGGTGTATGTAGATGCTCTCCCCTTGTGCTTCAGTACGAAATGTTTAAGGAAACCAGATATTTTAATTTTTTAAAGCATACTTTTTTATATAAAATCATGTGGTAGAAATCTGAACATTAACAGTAGAAAATATTTTGAGGTATCAAATAAATCATTATAGCAAACTCTGAACAATTTTGCATTTAAGCATGTTTGTATGTTAGATGTTAGAGTGAGGTAGACAGGGAGTGTGTGATTGCGTATTTTGTCCACAAAAAGGTAACTATCATAAATATTTTATTGCTCAACACAGTTTGCATTTGTACTTCAACAGAGCTACTGTACTGATTTTTATAAATACCGATTTGTGTAACTTTTTCTGGCTACTGTTCCTCTAGGACAAAATAATAGGGGCAAAAATGGTTCTAATTTATATTTTACCCATGATTGATTCAACTTTATTATTTGGATATATTTTATAGTCAGGTATGTAGGTGATGTTTACTTTATCTCTGCTACTAATTTTTGTTTGTTTGTTTGTTTGTTTATTCTTCTATTGCAAGTTGATTTTCAGGGTGATGGGCACCCTGAAGGCAATAAGAAACAGCTGGGGGGAAAGTGAAATTTTAATTTCAGTTGTTCTTTGCATACAATTTCTTTTGTTTCAGACCCTTGTTCTATTCCAGGGGCTGTGGGGATGGAGGTGGCAGAGAAAGGGAAAGAGAGAGAGAGAGAAAGGTATGTAAAAAGCCTTTCCTGGATGTGGCCAGAAAGGCACTTGACCATGGAAGAATGGGTCAGAGAGATAAAATGCTGATGGCTATAAAAAGGAGGGAGGAGGGCAGCCAGGAGCCAAAGAAAAGAATGTAGACTTGATAAAACAAGTAAATTGACCATATATGTGGCTTTACAATTCATATTTGTCACTGTGGTAGACAGAAAATAATGGTGACCCCCAAAGATCCCCACTAATCATGACTAGTTCTGCCAAATAGTCTTCCTTTTAGATTGCATATTTCTTGAGAATTAGGACTTTTTGTATCTTGGTTTCCACTTAGTGCTCTTCCAGCATTGGGATGACACAGTTTTTAAAGAATGGAAGCCTTTTTGAAGCTAATGCATATATATTCATGTATTCTAATATTTCCCCATATGATATCAAATCAGAAGGGAGCTTATTTTCTTTGGCTTTACCACATTGTTTTTAAGAAAGCTCTCACAGTGGAAACTCTGAGAATTTAAAACAATTTCTGGCCAAAACGGCAGTGAGCGAGGAAAAAGCCCAAAAAGAATTCCAAGTCTACACACATTTGGAATCCAACCCTGACTTCAGAAACGTTTTTTAAGTAAGTTGTTCTGTGAAAATTAAATTATAAATGACAGATCTCCAAAGATTAATTTTTTAACTACTATAGCATAACATACTTCATGAATGCCAACAGTTCTTTTTTGGTTCAGAATGGACTTTAGCCAACAAATTAAATCTTGTGGTTTTCAATCTTGCATCATTTGTCACTGGATTCTAAAACTTCAGGATTAAATTTTGTAGAACAAATGGACATAGGCTCTTTCTCTGATGTTCTACCACAGCACTAGCTCTTTAGGTATTATGCTAAAAGTAGGAAGAAAAATTCTTAGGACCTAAAACTTGAGGAGTTTTCACTTGCTATAAAAATTATCCTCATATTGAAATATGTGATGCAATACCTATTTTTTCCCTCAAAGAACATTCAGAAAGATGTAGCACTGTCTATGTGCTTTCCAACATGGTAGCCATTAGCCATATATGTGAGTACTGAGTGCTTGGAATGTGGTTAGTCTATTTTGAATATAAGTGTGAAATGCACACTAGATTTTGAAGATTTAGCACAAAAGACAAAGCATAAAATAGCTCATAATAAATTTTATATTGATTACCTGAAATGCTAATATTTTGGATACATTTGGCTAAGTATATTATTAAAATTAATTTTACCCATTCTTTTTACTTTTTAAAACACAGCTACTAGAAAATTTATAATTTCATATGTACTTTGCTTATAATGTGATTCACATTGTATTTCTATAGGATAGTGCTGCTTTAGATGATTAAATTAGTCATTCTAATTGTAGAGAAATATAGGAAACCATGTTTGGATTCTTAAGTACTAAGTGGGAGGTCAGTGTCTCTTGCCTTGTGAAATCACTCCTGCTTCATCCTTCTGTTCTTCCTGAGTCTGGTGTTTCAGTGTGGATATCTTGTTAAGAGAGAGAATAATAGATGCAATACATATCAGAGAAAGATTAGAATGTCATTGAATGCCATCAAAAGAAGTGAACAAAATTGAGAAGAGGAGTGGACAGCATATTCTCTCAGCAATAATTAGGTTCTTTGTCATTTTTCAGGGAATCTCTAGAACATGTACCTTGAAAATGAGAAATTCAGCCAGATAAAGGTTACATTTGGTTTTTAGCAAGAAATGTGAACCCAGGAGAATATGAGAACGACAGATTTTAACCTTATTTGAATGGAGAGGGAAGAACTGGGTAGGATGGATCAAGCAGTGTGACTTCACACTATCCTCATAATAGATAATGACTGAAATTGATTGGCAATATAGCATTTATTATTTTATTGTAATACTGTTATTAGAGCCTGGGGAAGTGCCTGTCCAAATGCCTATGCTTTCTAAAGAATAAACAAAAGGGCTGATGTCTCCTGCACATGAGTAGAGACTATCCTCCCGTTAACAGTAAATACTTCCTAGTTTCATGAAGAACAGGATGGAGAAAAACTATCTATAAATGAGTACAGAGAGGAGGTGAAATCATAAAGTCTCTAACTCATCCAATTATAAGATATTTTTTTCCTTTTGTTTCAAGTGTTTGTTGAAGTACTGTAGACTATACTCATTGTGTGGAATTGACAAAGGTTGATATAATTATTACCATCTAATCTGTGGAATCTTATTATTGTACTTAAGCTGATACACCAAAGGAAACTATGAGCTCTGTGTTAACAAAAAGAAAGAGATCTTCAGTATCCTCTTACTGCTTATGAACATCTGTTTTAGAAGTTCTTAATTATCGCCTGGGAGAGAAGGACATAATTGTGAGGTTCATATGGAAGCATTAAAAGTAATCACACGTGGTTCCCCAAATGGGTCTCTCTGCTTGTTTTAGGGGGAGGGGTGGGAGGTTGCTTATTCATATAGCTTGGCAAAATGTTGAATACTTTAGTCATTTTAGCATTTGAAAACTGTTAATATTTTATATCCCAAGCCATGGAAAAGGGATAATTTTGTCTAAGCAAGCCAGCCCAAACATTATAGTATCTTTGTTAAAATAAAAAGCAAGAGATAATCTGGGTTTATTTACAAAATGCAATTGTCTACTCTGAAGATAAACTCCTGGGTGCTAATCATGGAAACTGTGGTAATTATAGCACCTAAATAAAAATGGCACTCTATCCATCAGCATCATGGAGGGTTTGCAGGAGATGACTTTGAAAGATTCAGTCAGGGCAACAATTTGGAGTTCTGTATAGCTCTCTTTCAAGAAGTTAAAATGCTCTCTGATGGCAGAGGAAATTAGACTTGTTCTGCATGACTTCAGGTGAATTAGGAAAAAGAAATGATGTTAAAGGAGAAGGAAATTTTATTTAAGTTTACCAAAGAGTTTCCTAACAAATAGAGATTATAGTGAAAATGATGGCACATTGAGGCCCTGCTTACCTATGAAAGGAAGTGTTAACCAGAGTATTTTTTTTTTATTTTTTTTTATTTTGGCATATTATGGGGGTACAGATTTTAAGGTTTCAATAAATGCCCATTTCCCCCCCCCAAAAGTCTGAGTCTCCATCATGACCATCCCCCAGATGGTGTACATCTCACTCATTATGTATGTATATACCCGCCCCTCCCCCCTGCCCAATACCCTATTACTGTAGTACCTATGTGTCCACTTAGGTGCTACTCAGTTAATACCAGTTTGCTGGAGAATATATCTGGTGCTTATATCACCATTGTTTCTTAGAGCTGAATAGTACTCCATGGTATACATATACCACATTTTATTAATCCATTCTTGGATTGATGGGCACTTGGGCTGTTTCCACAGCCTTGCGATTATGAATTGTGCTGCTATAAACATTCGAGTGCAGGTGTCTTTTTTGTAGAGTGTCACTGGATCATTTGGGTAGATGCCCAGCAATGGGATTGCTGGATCAAATGGTAGATTCACTTGTATCACTTTAAGGTATCTCCATATTGCTTTCCACAGAGGTTGAACTAGTTTGCAGTCCCACCAGCAGTGTAGGAGTGCTTCTCTCTCTCCGCAACCACGCCAGCATTTATTGTTTGGAGATTTTTTGATAAAGGCCATTCTCACTGGGGTTAAGTGATATCTCATTGTGGTTTTGATTTGCATTTCCCTGATGATTAGAGATGTTGAGCATTTCTTCATATGTTTGTTGGCCATTCTTCTGTCTTCTTTAGAAAAGTTTCTGTTCAAGTCCTTTGCCCACTTTTTAATGGGGTTATTTGATTTTTTTCTTCCTAATTTTCGTGAGTTCTAAGTATATTCTAGTTATCAGTCCCTTATCGGATGCATAGGATACAAAAATTTTCTCCCATTCTGTAGGTTGTCTGTTTACTTTCATGACTATTTCTTTGGCTGTGCAGAAGCTTTGTAGTTTGATCATGTCCCATTTATTTATTTTTGTTGCTGCTGTGATTGCCTTTGGGGACTTCTTCATTTAACCAGAGTATTGACAACAGTCTATAGAGTACACTAGAATGAGATTTCAGCCTTAGGTAGAAGTTAGGTGGTATATTAGACAAGGACCTTCAATGCTAAGATTATGACAAGTAATGATTAATTTGTCTTATACGTTTTCTAAAAAGAAACTTTAAGTATCTGTATTGCATTACACATTGCAAATCCAAATGAAATGCATATGTGTATTTAAATCTGTAGATAATTTTTATTATAATTCATTGTGATGTCTTTCACATCTCCTCTTCAGTGCAATGAGGAACATGCTTATTAGTAAGGAGCCTCATATTCCAGAAGAGCCCCTTGGCTGAGAGGTAAATAAAGAGTGTAGGTGTTACTGCAGCCCTCCCACATAAAGCATAGCCTGGAGCTGATGATTCCGTTGGCACAGCTTGTCTCTAGTTGACCTTATTAAAACATTGATCAGCAAAGGCCCCATGAAACTTATTTGCACACAGCTGTCTCATAGTAGATATCATTCACTTTGTGCCCTCGTGGTTTTGCACAATGAGTAATTTGAACGACATCAAACTTAAAATCCTCACAAAACTATGAAGATGGGAATATGTCTTTTCTTTAGTTTCTTACTCATTTGAAATGAAAGAATGTTAGAGCAAGAAAAGGTGGATATTATATATTTCAGTGGTTCAAAACCCTGACTATCCTTTAGAATTGTCTGAAGATTTTAAAAATATTATCAGAGTCTGGGCCCCATACTCAAGTATTCTGATGTAGTTTGTCTAAAGTGGCTGCTGAACTCTGGTATTTTTTGACAGCTCCCCAAGTAATCTAATGTGAAGCCAAGATTGAGAAGTACTAGTCTTTTGTAATTATTTTTTATTATACTTTATTTTTCAAATTGATACATAATGATTATACATATTTATGAGGTACATAGTGATGTTAGATACATACAATGTATAGTAATTAGATCAGGGTAAGTAGCATACCTGTGATCTCAAACGTTTATCATTTCTTTGTGTTGGGAACATTTAATATCCCAACTGTTAGGAAACTGTTTTACCTTTATTTAAATAAAAAGATTCTTTATTCCCATAATTGGGTCATTGAACCCATATTAGTTTCTATAGAGAAATTTCAAGTTGGGTCTTTTGGGACAAGATAGTGAAATAGTCTTCCCTAGGAAGTATTGTCACCCCTCTCTCTAAACTAACATGACAGTTTCAGGGGTGATGAATTTTTTCCTGAAGAGTTAGGGCTAAAGATACAAGGAAAAGACTACTATTTCCTGCCTTCAAGTCTTTGCACCTGCCATGCCATCAGACTGACATGTTCTTTTCTCACTTGAGGCCAGTGAATGCCTATCCATTTATTAAATCCAATACCAATATTACTCTTCTTGAAGTTTTTCTTACTATCTTCTAGGAAGTATTAGATGCTCCCCCATCTGCATACTCACATAACTCAGTTCATATCTCTCCTATATGACATGTTCCCAGTTCTGTACAATTTATTTACCTACACATAAAAACCTTTACTCCTCAAAGATGGGCACCCTACTTAGGTCTAATCTATTGGTGTACCCTCTAGTATAGTTTTTGGCATGTATTATGCATTCAAGAAATGTTTATTAAAATAAACAATTGAGTAGGTGAATGAATGAGTGAGTGTAAGTGAAGATGCAAATATTCTTGCTCACACTGGGAAGCCAGAAACAGATTAAATGAATGTTAGGGCCGTGTGGGTTTCTGCCTTGAACTGTTAAATGCTAACTATACAAGAGTCACAAGAATCTTGTTTTGATGTGGAATAAAAACAGCTAACATCTTAGAGTCAGGAAACAAAGGCTGTATAAAAGAGCCTGGTGGAGGACCCTCAGGAACTAGTTATGTCAGCCTGCTTCCTACCGATTTTGTGGAAGATGGCATTTTAGTGACTGAGAATAAGACCTTATTTTTCAAAGTGTCCCAGTAATGTATGTTGACTTATAAAAATCTGGGATCCAGGAGCATAGGACCTACAATCTTCTGGCTGGTTTTCTAACTGTATGAGTCCAGGATTATCTGGAGCCTGTTTCCTATACACTGAGTATGACCTTGAATTTCCCAAAGAAACAAGTTGTCTTTATGTTACTTATTATCCTGGTTGCTTTTCAAACTCTGAAAACTTTGAGTTCTGAGAGATTATTTCAGTCCTTGGCCAATAGACCCAATCAACTACTACACCTACAACATATAGGAGATAAGGGGTTGTCATCCAGGTGGTCATTAGCAAGTCTAGTCACCTCTCGGGTAGTTCTCATGTGACATCTATCATTTCTTCACTTTCTTACTTCAGCTCCTTTCCCCTGGGCACTTTGATATCTACTAGATATGCTGCCATGAAGATCCCAGGAGCCCTCCAGCTACAGTTGTACCTATGTAAAATACTATTGTGGGTGTTGGATTTAAATAGTATTCTTTCAAGTCCTATAAAAACTTAGCTTATTCCGAAAATAGAACAATTATGTTTTAAAAATAACATTGAATATAAGAGTAAGGATTCTTTTTCTTTTGATATGTTCATTTTTTAAATTTCAAAGTGGGAAATGTCTAAATGTGTTAAAATAAATGAACTATCAAAGCCAAAATCAGAAGCACAGGTTTTATAGAAGATACTCTTGCATAAAGTAATTCATAAATAACATCCAGTATGTTTTCCTTGAGTCCTCTGTATTGAGCCTGCTTTCCTATTTAGTTAGAACTCTTAATGCTAATCATTATAATGATATTTGGCAAAGATCAGAATTAACAGTGGGCCGTTGAGTAACTCAAAGTTGAGTCAGTGCTTTCTCCTGAGAGTAATGAGATAACTTGGGACTAGATAATGAAACAATTAGATTCAAACACCTTATAAATAAAAATATTATTATTCCTCAAGATTATTTACATTTTAGGTTTCACTTAAGTTTTCCTAGGCTTTCTCAGTCTGGAACCCAGCAAAGCAGAATTTGCCCTAGATGCTTCTAATGAGGAGTTTTTAATGAAAGAACTACTTACAGAGGTGTGGTCAAGGTGAGGCACAAAGCAAGAGTTGATGGAACACCAAGAAACTAATGACAGTGGGAAGCCTAGGTCTAAAGAATATAGTCTTCCTGGGCCATGAGCTGAAGCTGAAGGGAAGGACCACCCCATGGAGCTATGGAAATGGAAGTCACCAGCTGTATCAGACTACTGAAAAATAAAGAAAAGAGGAAAGAAAGAAAAGGCAGTCCAGAGCTAGAAGGGAGTCCAGAAGTAGTAGCCATGTCCTATTTCTTTTTCACCCTCAAATTGCCTGCTGTTATGTGCTGTTAGTCAAATCCAAATGGAAGCCAACTAGAGATTCCTCCTTAGACCGTTTACCCATAGTGTTCTCGTGGACTGTTTATCCCCTGGTTTATTATTTTCCTAAACTCTGAAGTCTGATTTTTCCTGTTACCTCTATGGACCCATGTATTAACAGTTGTAGTGTGTTGTATTGACTTCTTGGGCTCTGCACTCTGCTCTCCCAACTTTATTAGAATGTTATAACATATATTTCAACTTGAGTGCCAACTATTAACTATTAGTAGCATTTACTAAAAAATAAGTATTCTGAAGAAAGTAATCTTTAGATTTCTGCATAGAAGTTTTTCTTTCAATATTTTAAGTCAAAGACTAGCATTCTCTTAGTGGTAGATCCAAAATGATATATTGCATTTATTTTTTAAAACATCAAATAAATCTTGTATAGTGTCACTAATAGAAATGAAATGAAAGATTAAAATAAATTTGTTCTTAGTTCACATCAATCTTTATTCATTCATCTATTCATTCATTCATGGAACCAAATTTTTACTGAGTGACTATTACTGTATGTCATTAAATGTAAGTTGCCATCAATGTAAATAGCATCCTGCTTTCAGCAATATTAAAATGTGAAAAAATATATATACTTTAGAACTGATGAAGTAATATATGTGGCAGGTGTATTTCAATTTAGAATAACTTTCTTCATTCTGGCTAAAAAGTTATAGTTTCATGTCCATTTCTGCTTTTCAATGCCTTGTAGCTTATGTCTCTTATTCACTCCCCCATTACTAATCTTCTGAAGCCCAGCATTTAAGAATGTTGATTTTTTTAGTTCTAAAGGCTTAAATATGAATCTTGGCTCAGACTCCTAACTAGCTGTGTGATGTTAGGCATGCTACTTGATCTTCTTATACTTAGTTCTCAAATATGTAGAATATAGAAAATAATAAGAACTTCATAAGATTATTCTGGAAATTTAGCAAGAAAATGAATTTTTTATTGTTCAATGCAATTTTGGATACATTCAAGCTACTATTTTTTATGTTGTAATATTTACACAGCAAAACTTAGATTGCTAAAGCTAGGGAACATATAAGATACAGCAACCAAAGTCAGTGCCTTGAGGGGTCTATGTCTATAATTGGTCTTGTTCCCCTGAAAAGCTAGGAAGACAACACAACTTGGAGAACTCTAACTGAAAAAATAGCACAGAGCAGAAATACAACTCAAAACCAGTGAAGCTATTCCCAGGGAAACAGGGAGAGAGTCAGCAAGCATTTTGCAGAGCATGCATCTTAAGAGAAGAGACTTCCTTGGAGATCTGTGTGGCAGTTATTAGAGTTAACCAATAGCTAGAAATTTAGAAACAGAATTGACGAAGAGTTAAGAAGGTTTTGAGAGCAGTGACTTACCATATTTTTTAAATCCAAAGCACACACAATTCCCATCCCTTTTAAAATTTATACTTTAGCATTTCTGAATTTGGAATTGATCTTACTATTGAAATTAATGTCCTGTTTCTCCCCTGTTAGTTAACTTGGTATTTTATAAGCCCATCCTCAGATTGAGGAAATAAGATAACTTGGTCTCATCCCTGGATTGAGGAAATTAGATAATATATGCTTTGCTATATTAACAAGTACATTTTAAACAATTGCAGATTAAAATACAGAAAAATTCTTATTTAAATGTAATACTTCATACAAAGCATACTTTTATATAAAATTGTTATAATATAGACTGAAATGGGATGTGGAATATAATGAGAAACTGAAGAAGACCAATCTAGGGTCACAGAAAAGGAAGATCCAAATGAGATCAGGAGATACATTTTCCATTGCTTTGATCGATTCTTTAATATCAGAACCACAAGTCTGTTATTTATGATTTGTAATAGGTAGGTATATGTTCAGTTCACTGTTTGGTTAACTGTAGGTAAATTTCATCTCATAATGTGGCTAAATCACTTTGAATTAAATTTTTTGTTGTCTTCACAATGTCCTGAATTAGAAGAATTCCATTCTTTTAGAATACATAGGTACTAAATAAAATTTGAATTGCATAGGTAGGTGCCAAGACCAGGTGGATACCTAACTGATAAATACAGTAAGAATTGTTTGACAAAGAGTAGATAGAATAGACTGTATGTAGCCTTTCTAAGAATGGTTTCCAGATAAGCCTATTTCTGTTTGGTAGCTGTGTTAACTGACTGCTGTGTCCTTCTATGGTTCCCTATTGTCTATTTCAACTCTGTCATTGAAGTTCATCAGCAGTCACGCTATGACCCATAGCTCCAATTGACTTTTCCTGCCTTATTCCATTATTGTGTCTTTGACATCCAATCAAAGCATACCTTTCCCTGAGCATCCTCTACTTCTTTCCTGCCCCCATGATGCCACTCAACATTCCCTCCATTGTGAAATACCCGCCCTGCCTCATCTCTGTATGATGAAATCCTAACCGAACTTCAAAGCATACCTCGAATTGTCACTGTCCACTAAGATAGTTTACTTGATTATCATACTATTAATTCCTATTCTCAGTCCTTTTCTAGCATCATGTTTTTGCATTGCTGCTTTTTACATTTTCTAAAATTAGTTTTGCACTACAATGATTTCTAGATTTATAGCTCTAATTATCTGTAATTCCATCTTCCCAGTATAAGTTTACTAGACACATACTATATTTGGACCCTAGCAGTGCGGAGATGAAATGGCCATACTCCCTGCTCTCCCAATCTCAAGTCTAGTGAGGACATAGAAAAGAAAATCTCTAAAATGGAGTATGAGTACCATCACAGATATATAACAGAGTGTCATCGGAGTTTATAAGGGTGACACTTAAGTTAGCCTTCACTTAAGATAATAGTGAGGGTCTGAGTCAGAAGAAACTTCCAGGAGGCAGCTAAATATTAACTCTATAAATAGCCCCTCATTGTGTTCTCTCATTTAAACAATTTTGGGTGGAATTCTATCTCCTTTTGGACCTTAACTGATATATATATATATATGATTATTAAAAATCAGATTTATTCCTTTCTGATTCTTTATGCAAACCTCTGTTATATTTATTCCATGCTTCCTTAAATTTACATGTGTGTACATGTGCATGTGTGTACTATGTATTTGTGTGTGTATTTATCCAGCAGGACTGTGAGATCTTGATCAGGGTGTACACAGTGTTTCTTTATACTTGTTACTCTGAAATCATCTATTTCATGTTCATACACTTTTATATGTTCATACACTTTTTTAATTGTGGATTCTTTTTGGGCAATTCTTTTTGGGTCACCACCTATTCATAATCATATCCACAGGTGGTCAGTTCAGTGACTATAACATATAGCACAGACCCTTAGTAAATGTGATGAACTAGGTTGATTAATGTGTCTATATACATTTTTTCTCAGAAGTAAAAGGTATGTTGCAATTTTTAGTTGAAATATATGAGTGTTCTTGATACTATACATGTTCTGTAACTACGTGGAGGAATGGCTTTGAGGGTGGAAGAGACAGATTTGCAAGCTGAAGAAAAAAGAATTTGTCAGTATATGGGAGAATGGTAGACGGAGAAGTAAATGGAGTGGGAAGCTGGGGGTGGTGAAAGGTGGTAAAGCGAGACACAAAGTGACAATAAACCATTTAAAAATAACTTGTCCTGAAGTGCTGGCTGTTCTAAATTCCTCTTTGCTGAGAAATTCCACATTTTTGGCTCACCTTTTGGGAAGGTAGAGATTTAGGCTAGGGAAAAAGTAGACAAGTATAAGTTTCCATGGAAACAATTACCATAAAATATCGATCAACAAAGATATTAGGAAGCAGGAAAGGAAAGAGATCGTTGCCATGGAAACATGGACAATCAGAGACATGCACTTGAAGAGATTCCTTCTTATTTAGTTTAGCCAAATATCTGAATAAAATCACTATATCTTAGTTTGTAGTTAATTTTTAAAGATTCCTAAAGATTTGCTTAAAAACATTTTTTTCTATCTTGGTAAGTTATATTTAGGGAATATCCTTTGATTTTGATTTGATAAAACATCATCTTACTGAGTATAAAATCCATGTAAAAGGTGAAAGATTTATATGATCTGAAGAGAAACCAGAGTATATAAAATCCATTAAATATTATTAATATATAAGCTATGGAAACATTATTTTATAAATATGAATCTTTTAAATGTATTCTTCCTTTAGAGTATAAAGTGATATTAATAGTGATGTTTTTCTTAATGAAATTTAAATTTTTGCTTTACTTTGCACTGAATAGCAGTGTAAAATATGCTTAAAATATTATTAATAAGAGAAGGTTATTGCAAGCATTAGGATACAGTAAAAACAGACTCACTTTTTCTCTAAACAAATTTGTATGACTTGAATTTTGAAATCCTTTTTAGATTTATGATTTTATTGTGCTTGTTTTAGCTCTCAACTTACTATATAAACATAAAGGGGTTGCGATTAAGGACAATGTATCTGCAGTTGAAAAATATATAAATATTAGATGATTTTAAATTTTCTCATGTCTATAGAAATACAGCCTATAGAAATACACAATGACAAAACAGGATATTAAACTTTAGTGCTGCCCGTAAAATTGTAGGATTCCATTTTAAAGTTCCCTTTACAGATTACTTTAGATAATGTATCCTGAAATGGTTCCTTACTTTTTCAGTCCTGTGAAACTGAAAAGTAAAGAGCTCAAGGAGAGTATATCATTTCCTAGCAGATACTGAAAGACCTTAAGTGTCAACTGAAAATTGAATTGCCTTTTCTGAGAATCACTTACCCCTCCTGAGTCACTTCTTGTTATCATCTTTGGCGTTCAGACTTCAGCATTCCAAAAGAAGAGCACGTAGACCTCTCCCAGACAGCCCCCCTGTTATTTATTACTAATCTTTTGTATCTTCAAAAGTAGGTTACCAAAAAAGCCTCT